GACAATGTACCGAGTCCACCCCCTGACAATGTACCGAGTCCACCCCCTGACAATGTACCGAGTCCACCCCCTGACAATGTACAGAGTCCACCCCTGACAATGTACAGAGTCCACCCCTGACAATGTACAGAGTCCACCCCTGACAATGTACCGAGTCCTCCCCTGACAATGTACCGAGTCCACCCCCTGACAATGTACAGAGTCCACCCCTGACAATGTACAGAGTCCACCCCTGACAATGTACAGAGTCCACCCCTGACAATGTACAGAGTCCACCCCTGACAATGTACAGAGTCCACCCCTGACAATGTACAGAGTCCTCCCCTGACAATGTACAGAGTCCTCCCCTGACAATGTACAGAGTCCACCCCTGACAATGTACAGAGTCCTCCCCTGACAATGTACAGAGTCCTCCCCTGATGCACTTCTGTCTTTGTAATACCTCCCTGTGTAAGACAGAATGACCAACAAGTGAAAATAGCATGCTGGTGCTGTGGCTCAGAAATTTGATGAAGTGATGACATCTGGTCTGTGCGAGCTCAAGGGAATAAAAAAACTGATTTATTACAGAGGAAATAACAAGGAATAAAAAAGTATTCATTTTTTTCAAACAGTTATGAAGCAAACGTCTGTCACACCAGGGGTCATGTTAACAGAATATTGAGTTTGTTTTTTAACAATGAAGGAAAAACATCTGAAGGTCAACTGTCATTTTTACACAATGCAATTAACACTCCTGACCACTTGGTGGCAAGTTAGCATACTAATTATCTGTTTTCTCACTTGATGCATGATCTCATTGGCTTCACTCTGAGAAATGCCAGAGCTGAGTGTCAGACGTTTTGTCAAACAGCCCATTAATGACTATGTTGTTTATAAAAGAGGTGAAAAAGAAGTGTGGCCACACAGCATGGATTCAGCCTCCAGAACAACATCAGGACAGCCACAAGAAGTCGTCTGTCTGAGGCAAAAGTCCAAAATCTCATGGCAGAGAGCTCCCTTGAGACATTTGCACAAGCAGGTGTGCAATTCAGGTCCATGTGTAACAGGAGGAAGGCACAAGACTGCATTCAGGCCACAGTAGGCAATCACTTCATGTTTGAAGTGAAATCATTTAACTTCATTGTTTAAATGTAGTTATTGGGGAAAAGTTACATGTTCACCTGGTTGATGAATTTCTATTTGGACTGAATATTAATTCAAATGAATAAAAATATTTGCTACTGAATGTTTATTATATAGTTGTAAAAAAATAAAATGAGAAGTAAAACTAGATTTTGACAGGCTGTTTTGATCCTGTCAGTCAAACTGACAGAGTGAAAACGTGTCGCACAACCTCTGTGTGACATGGTTAATGTGTTTATCTTCTCAGCTGAGCTGAGGTTTGCTCCAGGCCTCTTTAAGGTCTGCAGAACTAGCATCAGTTGTGTGAGCTGGTGTCTGTCAGGGACGCTGCCTTCAGCTGTTTATGAACAGCTAAAAGACATAAAGACACATTGGCCTGTGGTCATGTTGAAGAACTGCTTTATGAAAGATTCGAGTGAAAACCCCTTTGTGATCAATTTTAAAACAATACTTTATACTCAAGTTTTTAAAATCTCTCATGATGTTCAAAGAAATTTAATCCAGCTTTAAAGTGACTGTGACATCAAATTTGTATATTTATGAATGCATTTTTTAAAAGATAACATTGATAACATATTGCAAAAAATATTTTTTACCGCTTAGACAGTTTGTGATATTTTCATGTGAACAGGAAGTGATGTCATAGGGGAATGTCTGAATGTAAACAGAATCACTACAGTGACCAACAACACACACTGTAAACAATCTGCTGTTTAGATTATTTTGAGTCACTATCAAAGAGATGAAGTCAGAGTTTAAAGTATATTGTTTTAATAAAGACCAGAGAGTTTCCCATCTTAAAAAGTTCCCCTTTGATGTCACTTCCTGTTTCCTTTCAGCTGAGATAAGTAAAAAAAAAAAGCCAGTTATGCAACAAAATGTGTAAAATCATGTGTTTTATGCCAAGTTTCTTAAATATAAGAATATTTTGTTTGTCTTTTTGTATTTGAAGGACATGCCCATCACAGGCACTTTACAACCTGATGTGAAGTTACTGTGATAAAGTTCCTGTTCAGCTCTGACCTCACGCTTTGTTGCTCACAGCATCCTGTCAGTCAAGAGTTTTCCACAGAGAATCAATACACAACAATCAATGAGCTCAACACACACAGGACCTATAATAATCAATGAGGTCAGAGAGGCAGGTAACCAATCAGGAGCTCTGCTGCCCAGCTGACAGTACAATCATGTGATCAATCAGCCCCACCGGAGGCATGTGTAAACACAGTTTATTATTGATTTCATGCTGTGCGTCATCAGTCTGCTGCATTAAGTAAAGAGGAGTTTTACCAGAGCGTGGAGCTTCTCCTCCAGGTCTTGGTTGGCTCTCTGAGATGCTGTGTAGCTGTTCTGAAGTCTGAGGACAAACACAATGTTGGACATCATCAGCAGAGAGTTCACATGGTACAAGATCAACGTGCTGTCTGTTAGCCTTTACACAGGAAGTGACTCAACACAAAGGATGCAGGCGTTTGGGTCCAAACACAACCTAAGAAACAAATAAGACTGAAGTGAGGCACAGCACAGTATAGGGCCCTATGAATTCTGTGATGTGGAAAATGTGGACAGAATCAGACTGGAATCCAGTTCAAAGCATGGAATCTCATGGAATTCACTTATTTAGGAGAGTTTGACGTTTTGTTGGCAGTTGCTGCTCCCTGTACCTGTCGTTACCTGCTAACAGGTGAGCTCTGAGCTCCCCTCCTGACACGGGGAAAAAACAAAACAAAAAAAGCAGCGTCCGCAACCAGTGCTGTGAACAACAAACTCACTAAAACCAATGTCCTCCAAAAATAGGAAGCTTAGAGTAAAGTTTAGGACAGAACAATGTCCCGGTTCTTTATTTATCTGTAGAACTTCAGCACAGGATGGGCTGAATGCTGTGAAGACCACTTCCTGTCTGAGTCACAGGTTAGGAGCTGACAGACATGCTGCAAACTCCTCAACACTCAGTGAGGTGGGAGTCCAGGTGGGAGCTTATCCATGAGCTCATTGTTGAGGGTGCAGAATCAGATATTCCTTCAGAAAAAATTAAAAAGCTTTGTTTTTGATAAAACACTGTAAACATTGTGTATGTTTGTCTCCATTACAGAAGTAAATTAGCTTAGATCTTATTTAATGCTAGCCTGGCCCTTACCTTCCTGCTCAGTTCCACTTATTCTAGTTTTCTCCGCTCTGTCTGGGACTTCTCCAACAGACAAGGATTTCTTCAGGAGGATTTTCATCCGGTCCAATCAGAGAACAGAAGGTTGATGTTCTGCACAGTATCTGCTAGTTATTTTAGCATACAGCAGTGGAGGAAGTGAATGAAGCCAGTCTGTGATGATAAGACTTCATATTAAATTAAATGTGTCTGAAAGCAGCAGCTCTCATTTAGTCGTCTCGTTCAGCTCGGTACTTTTCAGCTGAGTGAAACAAACCCCTCCCAAAATGAACCACAGAAAAAAAGCCAAATAGGATGAGTGGTTAGTGCTTTGTTTTTAGGGCTGCAACTAACAATTATTTTAATAATTGATTAATCTGTTGATTATTTTTCTGATTAATCGATTAATTGGCCAAATCATTAAAACTCTTAATTACATGAATATGAGTAGATCTACTTGGCCTAACAACATGATTTAAAAACTGGTTTAAAGTTCGTAGTCTCTGCTTTTCACTCGAGGGTCAGAGAGGGCGTCTCTTTACAGGTAGTTTTTTCTTTCTTGGTAACTAACTGCGATCATTGACAATGCTGTGCAGGTGATGCAATCGGCTCAGCGACGTGGCGAGGGACGCATAAATCTTGTGACACAATGAATCGATAATGAAATTCATTGCCAACACTTTTAATAATTGATTTTTATTGATTTTATCGATTCGTTGTTGCAGCCCTATTTGTTTGTGCGGGTTTGTGCACTTGAAATTGTCGTTTGTACTGCAATGTTTTTTAAATTATTATTAAAGATTATTTGTAAAGGGCTCGACACACGGGAGACGACGTCGCTTGCTCTCCATCCATTTCCTATGGAGCCTGTGCGGTGAGGCCACAATCTCTTGCCCTCCTCCAGCTAAGTGACCGGCGAAAATAGTGCACGTGAAATTTTGCGCTCCTTCACGTAGACGTGCACACGCGAGCTTGCGACGCGACCCAGCAAAGTTGGAAAATTTTCAACTTCTGTCGCTGTCGCTTAGCGTACAACCAATCAGCGAGGGTTTCATTGACTGACCAATGCACATAATGTTTTGTTTGGTAAATAATTTTAAACACCTTTCAAAAAAATTTAATGTTCAACAGAACCGCTGCTATTTGTTATATTAGTGAAAATGAAATAATAGACTTTTTAAATTTCTGTAGCTATTTATTTGTTTAATTATTGTTCAGTCACTTTATAATTACACACTTTTTATGTTAAAAAGGTTACAATGAAAATGTGGACTCCAGGGAACAAAATGGAAAAAGTGGAATTTGGGAAAACTAAAAGTGATTTTATAGAGCCCTAATCAAAGTCCTGCCTCCCTCCACATCACTGTGGGAAACCTGGACTGGTCCTGAGTGGCTGGGTGTCTCTGAGGCTGCTGCTGCCTCTGTGACACGACCCGATTACTGGATGGATGGAAACGTACCGACCCAAGGAAGGATGCTGTGCTAACAGGAAGTTCTACCAGAAGCGGGTAGCTGGACTCTCCCATAAATACGGTGAGAAGCTCATCATCCAGAAGAGCTGGAAGAGGTGGCTGAGGAAAGAGAGGTCTGGGCCTCTCAGGGAAGGATGGAAGGATACTGGACCATCAGTTTAACATTTACACAGCAGCTGATTCTATGTGACTTTTAATAAAAGAACTCTTGTTCTAACTTTATTAACTGATCACTTCACTCATCCATTGTTTCCCAACATAACAAAATAACAGCTTTAAATCAGAATAATCAGCTGACATACATCCATGGATCTACCTGCTGACATAAAACCTGTTACTAGTTTTCACAAACAAAGTCTTAGTTAAACTATGAAGGTCTTTTTTTGCATGCAGAACGTTTGACACAGCATGTTTTAAACTCACCAGGGGCCTCATGTACAAAGACTTGTGTGGATTTCTTACTGAAACCTGACGTACGGTCAAATCCAGAAAACAGCGTACGCACAAAAAAATCCAGATGTATCAAACGTGGAACTGAGCGCAGGTAAGACTCCTCCCCTGACACGCCTTCATTAACATATGTTAAACAGATGCTAATTACTTCCTGCATGTGTGAAGGACATGTTTGTTTGATCCCTGTGATCAGAAATGATTTCTAATGTCATAAAAATAATGAATTAAATGTAATGTGAGTGAGGAAAAAAATCCTAAGTAAAAATAGGAATAAAATATTTATCACACAAAGTACGAGTGATTGTGTGTGTGTGTGTGTGTGTGTGTGTGTGTGTGTGTGTGTGCACGCTACTGTGTTG